GAGAGAGAGAGAGAGAGAGAGAGAGAGAGAGAGAGAGAGAGAGAGAGAGTGAAAGGGAAAATGGATGGAAACAATTCCATCTCGGTTCGCCTTTGCCGAGATGCTTCCGACTCCTTCCGCAGAACCACCAGCTGAGGTCTACACGATATTCTCCGGTCACGCTTGCGTGTTGGGATACATGCATGTGCCGGACCGGTGGTGACCTGCCTTTCGTGGCGCGCGTTCAGCAGGGCGACACATGACTCCAATCGATATGTGCCGTGGACGTTGACGTTGTTGTTGAAACTCATGGTGCTGTTGGACCCGCACCTCAAGCGGGGCGATAGCCAGAGGACAGGTTGTATTACGGCGGCCTCCCTAGAGTTGTGTAACGTGGGAAAATGACACCGATCCCCACAAATTCCCACCGAGTTCGGTGCCGCTAAACATGTCCCACCCTAGTGTCTAAGCAAAACAACACCGTTCCAACTAGCTATTTGTCGTTGCTGGAAGTGATGCGTGTCATCGAATGCACCAGGGAAAAGAAAAAGGAGCAAAAATGATTTCGTTTGATGTTGGAAGATCGTTCAAAGCAAATGTTCTGAAGCCCCTTCTTTACAGCAGGGGTTCAGTTTGTTCTGTCGCGCCGAATTCTCAGACCTAATATTCGATTTGACCCCAGGTTCTGTACAGTCTTCCAACTGCAACCCCGTATGCCGTTTCCATGGCAGACTCTTGATCAGCATGAACGGTTACTACCAGGAAGAGAGCTACCTTTTCAACACCCACAGAAGACACGAACAAGTCAGAACGACACCATTGTGCAGCAAGACCGTCCCTCTTTCAGCGTATATCCCGCGTGTGGGCCTGTTCTGCGACGTGCCCAACGCATCAAAGCTGCCTAGATAGCAGGCCTACAGTGCCGGAAAATTAAGCAGGACCAGGCTCGCTGGTAGACACTGTCACATGAAAGGCGCACCTGCCGGATCATTAGCAATAACCTCGCAGAACGCACACTCTCTCCCTGCAAGCGAACACTAGCCTGCGCAACAAACCGGACTACATATCGCCACATGCATCTCTCTCAATTGCATCCATCCGACTAACTGGTGACGTCCTGAAACGATCGGGTCAGCTCCTGGAAACAGCCGCCCGTAGCCGTTCGACGAGCATCGAGATCTGGCTCCCAAGGGAATCTCTCGTGCACTCCACCACCTCGCATCGCCACCCAGCCGACCCTCTGCCTCCGCTTTCCCCAGAACCGGACACAGCGGTGCTCGCAGGCGGTACCACGTAAACTCGCACCCGAACGACTGCACCACCCGTGTCGATCTTAATTTCCGCCGATAACGGCTTGTCGGGCGAAGTCTGCTTCCCGGCCGCGGCCGGCGCCGGCGCCGGCGCCGGCTTCTCTTTTTGCTTCGACGTGACGGTTACCGCCCCCTTCCCGAAAGTGTCTTGCATCGCGTGGCGTACGAGCAGCAGCGCTGCCGCGAGCATCGACGACCAGTCGCTGCCCTCCCGGTCTTCTCCGGCAGCACCATCGCCGCGGCGAGGTACCGCCGTGGTAGGTTTCGCCGTATGAACCGAAGCAGAGCCGCTGGCTTCGTCTCCCGCCCGGCCAGCAACACCGCCTGCCGGTGACTTGGTCCTCCCTTGACCCCCTGCCGCCGCTTCCTTCAACGCCGTGGACGAACCTTCCGTCTTGACTGCTCTGGCACCAGCAACACCAGTCCCTCTCCCTCCTGACACTGGTGGGCCTTCTTCCTCTCCCACCTCAGTCTTGACCTTCGAGGACAAAGTCGCAGCAGCAGCACCCCCTTCATCTACACCCATGCCTCCTGTAGCCTTGACACGTGCACCCTCTTCTCTGTCTCGAGCACAATCCCCGTGTTTCTGGTGGTGGCTGTGGTGGTGGTGCCCGCCCGTTGTGAGCGAAATTCCGGCCGGGCTGGTTTAGCAGTCAGGTTCGGCGGCAACGTCAATGGCAGAGGCGGGGTGGGGTGGGCGCGGCACGCGATGCTCAGAGATGAGAGTGAGACTATTTAGCGTGCTTGCGAGATAGGCATCGATCGCATCACACGAGAGGCAACTACGCCACCACGAGGAACAAAGGTGAGGCGGCGGGACGAAAGCGGTGAGCGCAAAATAAAAACATAAATGGGAGCATTGAATGACACCGGGTGGGAACGTACCTGGTTTGCGCCTGGGTTGCGAGCGCCACCATCGAGTCCGCGAGCATGTCGTTGACGGGGCTGGCATCCCACTCCAGCAGAAGCTTGGTCCTGGTCGGCGGCCATTTGACGTTGGGGTCGAGGGTGCAGAGCAAAATGCAGGGACGCTTTCTATTATAGTGAGCTACCCATGCAGAATGCACGAGGGATGTGGTAGAAGTGGGGGTACTCATCGAAGACATCGCGGCCGGTTAGTGTCGCTCGATCAACATTACAAGGTTGCGATTCTTGGTGGCCTGAGCACACCAGATATGTAGGCGCGCCGCACGAAGTGATAATCAGAACAACGGAACGCGCAGGAGGACTGAGTTTCGAAAACATCTCGGCGTGCGTCCTTCACACACAAAACCACGTCTGCATATACCCTCATCGCGAGCATACGTCATGCGCCCTCCGTTCACGTATGTATGTACACCCAAACTCCCCGCGCGCACAAAACGAACATATCGACGCGCGAAGACGGAGGAGGTGTTGTACCTGTCCTTCGCGCTGGGAGGCGGCAGAGTCGCTGCCACAGCACCGTGAACGACGAGCCTGGTGCCGAAGGTCCCCTCCTCCTGCTTGATGCTGTCGTCGGCGAACACCTCCCTCACGAAAGCTCGGAGAGCCTCGGCGGAGGAGAAGTACGGCACCGACAGCCGCTGCCGGATCCCGCCAACCTTGAGCTGCACAGACAAGACACATCCCATGGTGTTTGCATGTCCGCATGGGGGGGGGGGGGGGGGGGG